ATGGGCAGAAAATACTGAAGAATTTAGATTAGAAAGAAACATTTTAAAAACAAGTTGTGTTGTGTTGTCTCTTGGAGATGCCTGGAGTCAGTTGTCCATTTAAAATTCTACATATTTCTCTAACATGAACAACTGAATGAATGGCACTGATTGTGGCAAATATGTTTAAACTCTTGGAGATGCCTGGAGTCAGTTGTCCATTTAAAATTCTACATATTTCTCTAACGTGAACAACTGAATGAATGGCACTGATTGTGGCAAATATGTTTAAAGTGGTGTGTACACACATAACTAGCTGAATACTACTTACTTTATCTCTTTAAAGGAATGTTTCGCCCAAAAAGTCATAAATCTGATGAAAATGCATTTACCCTCAGCCATTTCAAGATGTAGATGAGTTAGTTTCTTTGTTGGAAAAAATTAGTAGTTTCATCTGAATGAGGAGATAAATATTCACAGATCAAGCACTGTTTCTAAGCACAAACAGTCCAAAACAGTTCTAAACAAACAAGTCAGTGGATTTTAATGTGGGACAGAATTTTACAATGAAAGAAGCATTATTATGGATCATGGATTATGGCGAGAAGCAACATTTTGAAGTTAAAATGCCTTTGTGATGGATTTGTTTCTCAAAAACACCTAGCTTTTCACAACACATTGATGAACTGGAGTTTTGTGGATTATTGTAATGTTTTTATCAGCTGTTTGGACTCATTCTGACGGCGCCCATTCACTGCAGAGGATCCATTGGTGAGCAAGTAATGTAATGTTACATTTCTCAAAATATATTTGGATGAAGAAGCAAACTCATATACATCTTGGATGACCTGAATATTCAGCTAATTTTTATTGTTGGGTGAACTATTCCTTTCACAAGTCCTATAATTCAACACTTGGTCAATTTAATGGTTTCATTGGTCAGCTTTAATGTATTTTCCAAAATAGACATTACTGTTTGGTTGTTTAAAATATAATTACATTTTTGGTTGCATTATCAGAAACATTTTTA